TTGTAGAGATGAGGTCTCGCCAAGTTGTCCAGGGTGGTCTCAAACCCCTGGGCTCAGGCAATCCTCTTGCCTCAGCCTCTCAAAGTGCTGGATTACAGGCGTGAGCCACCGCACCCAACCTCAACATTTCTTTCATGACACCTGTTCCCTTTTTTGAGCTTATTGAAAACTATACATAATTAAGATCATCTATTTCTAAAAGCCCAAACAAGGTGGAAAATTAAAAAATGTTGTTTAGCGTAGCCTATTTTTCCCACATTGTCTCATTCTTGGCTGGAAGACCAGACCCTCCCCCCCATCATTATTTTTTTGAGTTGGAGTCTCACTTTGTCGCCCAGGCTGGCGTGTAGTGGCATGATCATGGCCACCGCATTCTTGACCTGCTGGGCTCAGGCGATCCTTCTGCCTGAGTCTTCCAGGTAGCTGGAACTACAGGTGTGCACTACCATGCCCAGCTAAATTTTTTTTTAAATTGTAGAAACAAGGTCTTACCAAGTTGGCCAGGCTAGTCTTGAACTCCTGGGCTCAGGCAATCCTCTTGCCTCTACCTTCCAAAGTGCTGGGATTTCAGTCATGAACCATCCTGCCTGCCCCTACTCCCCTTTTAAAACACAATTTTACCTGAAAATTGATGAATTTTCACAAACTAAACCCATCCATGTTGGAGACTGCCTTATATTAAGAGTGGCAGATTAAAATAGATGGTAGGGTGAGCTCTCCTTATGCAGGCTTTGTATAGATTTGCTTTAATATGAAGCAGAGAGGGACTGTAACACATCAAGATTCACTTCCACTCTTTTTTTTTTTGACTTGGAGTCTCAGTCTCTTGCCCAGGCTGGAGTGCAGTGGCATGCTCATGGCCACTCCAGTGTTGACCTGCTGGGCTCTAGCGATTCTTCTGCCTCAGCCTTCCAAGTAGTTGGAATTACAGGCACATGCTACCACACCCGGTTTATTTTTTGATTTATTATAGAGATGAGGTCTCACTAAGTTGCCCAGGCTGGTCTCAAACCCCTGAGTTCAGATAACCTTCTCACCTCGGTCTCTCAAAGTGCTAGGATTACAGACTTGAGCCACCTCGCCTAGCCCCACTTCCACTCTTATTCATAAAGTGTTGTGAATACAATATGAATAAATCTCAAACATAACATTAAATAGAAGTCACACACAAGAGTACATATTACTTGATTTTGTGTATATACAGTACAAAACAGGCAAAATTAATCTATGTTACTAGAATTCAGGATAGTGATTTCCACTGAGGAGTTGGGGAGGGTTGAAAGGATGGCCAAAGGGGCTTCTTAGAATGCTAGTAATGTTTATTGATCTGGGTGTGGGTTATATGAGTGTGTTTAATTTGAAAATTCATCAAACTCTACATTTATTTGCATCTTTTAGTATGTATATTACACTTCAGTAAAAAAACAAAACTGGCTGGGTGTGGTGGCTCACGTCTACAATCCTAGCACTTTGGGAGGCCAAGGCAGGAGGATTGCTTGAGTCCAAAAGTTCTAGATCAGCCTGGGCAACATAATGAGACCTTGTCTCTACAAAAAAATCCCCAAATTAGCCAGAATGGATGCTGCACACCTATAGTCCAAGCTACTTGGGAGGCTGAGGCAGAAGGATTGTCTGGGTGCATGAGCTCCAAGCTATGGGGAACTGTGATTATGCCACTGCCCTCCAGCCTGGGAGGGAGTGAGACTCCAACTAAAACATAAAAAAAAGAAACAAAACTAAACTACTGTGCTTCCCACATAGGTACATGGCATTGTGCTAAACACTGTGAAAAGCATAAAAAGGAACAAGACAGAAAGCAGACTGTTGATTGCCAGGGCCTGGAGGGAGGCAGAGGGAGTAACTGTTTAATGGGTATGAGGTAATGAGAATGTTTTGAAACTAGATAGAGGTAGGGGTTGTGGAACATTGTGAATGTACTAAATGCCAGTGACTTGATCTTTTGAAATTGGTTAACTTTATGTTCTGTGAATTTCATCTCAATTAAAAAAAGGGAGTTCACTAGTTGCCATGTGATATTCTGGGTTGGACATTGTAACAAAAAAAGGACATTAGTAGAAAAATTGGTGAAATACTGGCATTTAATTTTTTTCTTAGTTTTGACAAATACACCATGGTTACGTAAGATGTTAACATGAGGGGAAACTGGGTGAGGGGGTATGAGAACTCTCTGTACTCTGCAACTTTTCTGCAAATCTAAAATTGTTCCCCCAAAAAGTTCATTAACAAAAAAATAGAAGCACTGAAACAGAATCCCAGTTTTCATAAATAAGTGGCAAGATCTTGAGCACTTCTCTTTGAAAAGTCTCAATTTCCCAATGGTAAAGTAGGTTAGGCTGCAAACGTAGCTTTGAATGGGTTAGGATAACCTCCCACCTCGCAAATCCAGATCAGACTATCTGGGTATGAAATGCCATGGTTAAAAATGAGAGACATTACCTTAGCCTATTAAGGAAATTTTAAAAGCCAGATACCACTACAGTAATGACCTCAAAGATTCCTGGCAGTTGTTAAATTCTGTAGTTCCTATTTTTAGGAAACATTTTTCTTAGGGAGCTTTTTTAAATCATGAATTTATAAATGATTTATAAGTCATTTGCTGAGGTATGTATGGGGCTATTCAGAGTTCTTTTGGGGATTCATTATTGACTGTAGCACACAGCCTTATGTTGGAAAGTGACAGATTGAAACAGATGATAGATCCTGGTTGGATGCAGTGGCTCACGCCTGTAATTCCAGCACTTTGGGAGGCAGAGGCAAGAGGATTGCCTGAGCCCAGGGGCTCGAGACCAGCCTGGGAAACTTGGTGAGACCTCATCTTTACAATAAATCAAAAAATTAGCCAGGTGTGGTGGTGCACGCCTGTGGTTCCAGCTACTTGGAAGGCTGAGGTGGAAGGACCACCTGAGCCCAGCAGGTCTGGGCTGCAGTGGCTGTGCCACTGCACTCTAACCTGGATGATAGAATGAGACTTCTACTCAAAAAGAAAAGAAATAGATGGTAGTATAAGTCTTCTTGATGCAGGCTTTGAATAACAGGTTCAAGTATGGGATTTGCTTTTAGGAAGCAGCCAGGGACTGTAACACAGCACTATCCGGGAAGATTCACTTGGCAAGTAATAGACAGGGGAAGCATATATGATAAAGAGAACCAAGCTCCAAGGGGAAGCTGGAGTCAGGGGTGCCATGAGCATGGGAATTATGAAAGGATGTTTGTGCTGTGGAGAAGGAAAAAGCTATTAGGCCTAATGACTACTGGGGTTACATCTTTGTGAAATGTCATTTATAAATTTATGATTTAAAAAAGTTAGCCGGGCTCGGTGGCTCAGCCTGTAATCCCACGCTTTGGGAGGCTGAGGTGAGTGGATAGCCTGAGCCCGCGGTTCGAGCCCCGCCTGGGCAACTTGGCGAGACCTCATCTCTACAATAAATCAAAAAATTAGCCGGGTGTGTTAGTGCGCGCCTGTAGTTCCAGCTATTTGGAAGGCTGAGGTGGAAGGATTGCCGGAGCCCAGCAGGTCGAGGCTGCGGTGGCCGGGAGCAGCCACTGCACTCCAGTCTGGGCTATAGAGTGAGACTCCAACTCAAAAAAAAAAAAAAAAAAAGCTATGCAGATCAGAGAGGTAATATAACTTTTTGGTTAAGAGATAATAGAGGTAGACTGGGCATGGTGACTCATACCTATAATCCCATCACTTTGGAAGGCCAGGCAAAAGGATTACATGAGCCCAGGAATTCAAGACCAGCCTAGGCAACATAGCAAGACCTCATCTCTACAAAAAATAAAAAAATAGCTGGGCATGGTCCACATGCCTGTAGTCCCAGCTACTCAGGAGGCTGAGGCGGAGGATCACCTGCAGGATGTCGAGGCTCTAGTGAGCCGTGACAGTGTCACTGCACTCCAGCCTGGACGAGAGTGAGACAAAAACTCAAAAAAAAAGGACAGGAAATAGCAGTGCTACTACATAGAGTTTGAGTTAATACTTGAAAGCGTTTAAAATAGTGCCAGACACAATAAGGGCTCGATAAATGGAGTTGCTGAGAATCTGGTATGTACAGGATGATTAGAAGAGCCATCACAAGCTCTTGCTGTGGTTCAGAGCCCTTGCCTGTGAAAGAACAGTATCTGTTAGTCATTCAAGATGATGTAGGATCCATTGCATACAAAGATCTGGCCCAGTCCACACCCAGAAACTGTATGGAGCATGATCAGAGGTCCTCTCCAAACGCACACTATAAACAAGCAGAATAAAATAGGAGGCACCGCTTTTAACAAGAACGTTCTTTATTTGTACAAAACATTATAATCTTCTCGACATTCTTCACTCGCTTATCAACAAACTTTTCACTGTATTCACTTAACAAGTTAGCAGTGTCAAACTACATTTCACTACCTGTCAAATCCCAAGCGTTCAACTTCAAGACAAATACGTGCTTTGAGCAATGAACGGAAAGAGAAAAAGGCTAAGAAAGGTCAACAGAGATACTTTAGAAGCCGTTAAAAGGGGAATTAGATTCCTGAGCACCATCAGAATTCCCTTAAGGTTCAGATGAGTTTCACTAAATCATATTTAAAAGGCATGAGACAAAATTAGCCCGGTGTGGTGGTAGGCACCTGTAGTCCCAGCTACTCAGGAGGCTGAGGTAAAGGGATCACTTGATCCCAGTTCAGAGCTGCAGTGAGCTGTGCCTGTGCCACTGAACTCCAGCCTGGGCGACAGAGTGAAACTCTCAAAAAAAAAAAAAGGACCAGGCTCAGTGGCTCAGCCTGTAATCCCGCACCTTTGGGAGGCTGAGGTGAGTGGATTGCCTGAGCCCGTGGGTTTGAGACCCACCTGGACAGAGAGACTTCATCTCTACAATAAATCAAAAAGTCAGCCGGACATGGTAGCGCATGCCTGTAGTTCCAGCTACTCGGAAGGCTGAGGCGGAAGGATCGCCGGCGCCCAGCAGGTTGAGGCTGCGGTGGCCGGGAGCGGCCACTGCACTCCAGTCTGGGTGACAGAGTGAGACTCCAACTCAAAAAAAAAAGGGCATAGAATTAGAACTAAGGAATCAGAAGACCTCACACTTTGGGGTAATCAAAGTTTGTATGTTGATGGAAGTGAGAAGATAAAGAAGGGATGGGGAGCAGAGGAGAGGCGCAGAGAGAGAGAGAGAGAGAGAGAGAAAGAGAGAACAAGAAGCATAGAGAGAGAAAATTGTGCTTAGAGCAAATAAAGCTTGGAACTCATCATAATCACAAGTCTGGGAGATGAACTGCAAGAAGAGAAAGCCTGGGATTTTACACCTTCCAGGAGGTGACAACAAATCCTAAACCTATATAGCGGCAGGCAGTGAGATACATCTAAGACTAAGCCTGCTGTTCTGTAAAAGTAAGACATTGGCTCTTGCTTCACTAATTCCAATCAACACTGCTGACTTCAGAGCATGTGTGCCCAGAGTGCAGCCACCACAGCAGGTCCAACGTCTACAGGCAATTTAGAAGGGCTCCAAGCCAAGTGGGTGTACAGAAAACAAAATTCTGTTAACGCTACTGTCAAGTGAAGAGACAACACAAGACTTCATTCTTCTCCCACAGCTTTTTAGTAGTTTCCTAAAGCTTAACCATTCTGACCACTCTTAACAAGCTACTATTATCAAAGACTGTACAATCAAACAAACGCTGACCATAAGCAAACTCAAATTTTTCCTGAGTCTTGACTGCCTCTGCGATCTGTAACACAGCAGACAGCATTGAAGTTATTATTACTTTTTGGGGGGGAGTAGGAAGACTGGGGATCAAAAATCACCTGGCCATACATAAAGAAACCAAGAGTGATCAAACTGACTAATTTAATTAGCAGTTCAGAATCAGTCTCACCAAAACCCATAAACTTCAGACCAATGAAGCAGCACAGGACTCAGCTACTCAGATGCAGAGAGTCTGGGAAGCGCTGGTTTTGACGACAATTCTAGTCAGTTTTAATCGATCTTAGGCACTTCTGCCTGAGACTGCTCTGCCCAGCACAGAAAAGCTTCACAGAAACGTCTGGGAGTGGTACCTTCCAAGGTGCCAGTCTGCCACCCCATTTAGTTGTCCACTTCCTCCTCTTCATTCTGTTCTTCTTCTTCCAGCCTCTCTTCCTCTTCGTCATTGTCCTCTTCCCTGCTCTTGTCTTGCTCTTCCGAATCTGTTTTTCTGTCTTTGTCCTTCTTCTTCTGCTCTGAAGCTTCCTTCTTGCCTTTCTGTTCACGCCTATATGCTGTAATGAGGAAAGAGGGGATTACAGGAGGCAAAGCTGGAAGAGTGGACCTGACTGCAGCAGCTCACTCCATTGTATAGCTGGAAAAACTGAGACAAAGAGAAGGAAAAATAACATGCCCAGTATCACAAGGGAGATCTGAGGTGGTGCCAACGGAACTGGGTCGTGTCACATCCAGTACTGGCTTACAGGGCTTTAAGGGACCCACGCTGAGAAAGCCTCAGGCCCGGGTAAACAGGTCACACAGGCTGACCATCGTCTCCGCAGTGTAGACAGGAGGCTCATTACCTTCCAGGGCTTCTTTTAACGGGGCAATAAAACGTTGGAACTCCATCTCTTCCATGGCTGAGAGCACATCACTGGCGTTCAGTGTCTTGCGCTTCCCTTTCATGGCGAAGTTGTTGGCACTGAAAGAACGAAAAAGGGCCGTCAGACTCCCTCTGACCGAGGACGGACTGGGTGGGAAGAGGAGCACCCAGAGGCGGGATGGGAAAGTTCACCTCTCAAATGCACGGATTTTTGTGCGACAAGGGTAAATCCCTCCCGGCAAAACAGTTTTGTGTTTTACTCTGTAAGAACCGGCAGAGGGCTGTAGCCTCTCCCCACCGAGGCAGGACGCAATTATTAGGGTCTGCGAGCTACAGGCCAGGAGGTCTCCCGGCGCTTCCCTCGGCCCCTGCCTTGCTCACCAAGACGTGGCGTACAGCACGAAGACGCTGGCGGCGCGGGAGATGGCGCTCCGGGCCTCCTTGGAGATGTTGACACCGTCCGGGAGCTGCGAGGAGAGCGGCGGTGAGCAAGGCTGCGGGCCCAGGATCTGCTTCCCTCCTGCCCGCTCGTCCGCCCCCAGCTCATCCGCCGGCCCGAGCTGCTCACCGCCTCCTTGATGATCCTAGTGATGACGGCGTTGGGCAGGTTTAGGTCCTCGGGCCTCTCCGCCATTGCCGCGGCCCGTGCTGCGCCTCCACTTTGGGCCTCCTATTCAGACAGCTACCACGTCCGGACTTCCCGCGTCGCTATAGTCTGACCCTCCGAGGCTTCCGTCTCGTCCCACGTTGCTCACACTGTGTCCCACAGTGCCCTGCGCTCCACATCCTTCCACCTTCCTTAGCCCCGCCTTCGCCTCAAATAGCCGGTGCATCTGAACTTTCTACGCCGCGGCAGTTTTGGCCCACCGGGGCCCCCGTCCGGCCCTAGTGCGTCCAGCGCGTCCCTCCCCGGCCTGTTTTCTTACCTCACGCCATCACCACATCTGGAACTGTCTCATCAAATAAGTTTGGCTCAATAGCGCTTCCGTCCGTCTTCCGTAGTGCTCTGCGTGGCTGCTTGGCGACAGCGCGGCCTCGAGGCTAGCGTGGGAGACAGGGGAGCCGGCTGGGCGGAGCCCCTTCGCACGAGAGGCGGGGTCCGCTGCCCTCTTCGCGCTGAGCGGAACGGCGTTATCCCTCTCGGCCTCGGAACGCCAGCCGTTTGGTGCGTGCTGTGGTCCGCCACCCGCTGTGGCCAGGTTCTCCCACCTTTTTTTTTCCCTTTTCCGGAATGAAGCAGGGAATCATTTTCCAACTCCATCGAGCTGATGCCCAATTTTAATCTTTTCGCCCCTCACGACGTTGCTGTAATGGTATTAAGAATAAGTGTTACTTAGGGGTTCTTCTCGTGAACTATTTTGTCCGCACGTTTTGCTACTGCTGGCGTTGTGGAGATGCTCCTGATTAGGCCTAGGGGCTCGGTTCCAAGCTGGGCAAGTAACGAAAGGGCGAGAAGCCCCAGGTTGTAAGAATAATGCAACATCACATTCGCCTTCAAAAACAAGTCCTGTTAAAGTTTAATTTACTGCCGGGCTCGGTGGCTCAGCCTGTCATCCCGCGCCTTTGGGAGGCTGAGGTGAGTGGACTGCCTGACCCCGCGGGATCGAGACCCGCCTGGGCAACCTGGCAAGACCTCAGCTCTACAATAAATCAAAAAATTAGCCGGGTGTGGTAGCGTGCACCTGTAGTTACAGTTACTTGGAAGGCTGAGGTGGAAGGATCACTGGAGTTCAGCAGGTCGAGGCTGCGGTGGCTGGGAGCGACCACTGCACTCCAGTCTGGGCGACAGAGTGAGACTCCAACTCAAAAAAAAAAATTTAATTTACTTTTTTAGTTCATTAAGTTGTTCATCGTACTTCTTTTTTTAAGTCAAAATCATTCCCCAGGTTTTGCCATGGCTTTTAAAATTGTTTATTTTAAGTATATGGGCATTCTCTCTCCCCACTGGGAACAAATGGCTACTTTTTTCCACTTGAAAATTGCTGTCTCAAGTCGCCTTTTTGTTTTCCTGCTTTTGATAGAAACAAGATTACAGAAAAGTAGTTCCCTGTTAGGAGAAAACAACAGCAAATGCTATGATAAATGGCATCTGAAACTGCTGCAGTTAGAGACCATAAGGTCCGCGGGGGACTCCACTTGGATAGACCAGACCTGGCCTAAAACGTCAGCAGCTGTTCAGCTCCAGCCAGTTGCTGTCTAGCTGGAATTGGACCTATGTTGTCAGATATTTTCATCTCTTAAAGGAGCCAGAAATCTGGACTTTGTGAACTATTTCAGTTTCAAAATATTAGTTCAAAGTGCTGGCCAAACAAAACAAGTCTCAGGCCAGGTACAACCCCAGGCCAATAGTTTACTATCTTTAATCTAGATTATAATCTGTTTAGAACATGGAGTTTGTTCATTAGTGTGCTCCACGCCCAAAACAGGCCCCCTCACATTTGGTAGTCAATAAACATGTTGAATAAAATAAAGAAATGGACACCGTCCTTAGAAAGTTATTAGGGATAAGGTGGTGGTGATTGCCTGAAACATCTTTAGAGAGGAAAAGATGATAATAGTGGTTGAGCACCTATGGTACATAAAAGTACATTATCTCTTTTTTTTTTTTTTGAGTTGGAGTCTCACTCTGTTGCCCAAACTTGCAAGCTCCGACGATCCTTCTGCCTCAGCCTTCCAAGTAGCTGGAACTACAGGCGCGCGCTATCATGCCCAGCTAATTTTTGATTTATTGTAGAGATGAGGTCTCGCCAAGTTGCCCAGCGGAATCTTGAACCCAGGGGCTCAGGCAATCCACTCACCTCAGTCTCTCAAAGAGCTGAGCTCATTTAATGCTTCTGTAGTCTTACTTGGTACTCTCCCTCCCCTGCTTATATGAGGAAGCAGGTTGAGAGAGGTGAAGTCACTGCCCAAGGCTGTACAGCCAGTAATGAAAAGCTAATGGCCTCTGATGTGCTGGAAGCCTACTGATGTGTTGTTTGAGCAAACCTATTTATTGTTAGTGAATATTTTATCTGCCTGCATGGGAATTGAAGCATGTTGAACAATGAAACATATCTTCCAAACGTTTGAGCCATCTAAGGCACTTCTGTGAATACATTGATGCTGATTGTATAAGGCTCTTTGGAAATGATGGCATCTTCTCCCTAATGTCTAAAGAAGGGGGAAAGGAAAGGTTGCTAATATTTATTTTGAACTGTATGCCAGGCATTTAATATCCGTTAGCTAATTTTTGTAATGATTCTGAAATAGGCTTATCCTCATTTTACAGATGAGGAACTGGAGGCCCAGATTGGTTAAGTCCCAGGTCACTCAGCTGTTAAATGGCCAGTTAGGAGACCCAAAGTGAATCTGTTCCCTAAACTCTTGCCATTCTACCTCATGCTGTAATGTTTTCATACTTGCTTGTAACCCAGTCGTTAATTATCCTGTGATCACTGTTTACCTATATAGGTCAAGTAGAAATATTTCATACTTTGAGTTCAAATTAAGATCTGGACTGCATGGCTAATGTATAATACCTTCTAATTAGGTGGTTGTTGATCTTGCAGAGGGCTAGAAATCTGCAGGGTTGTCCTCTGTCTTAAGCCATTTATAGTTATGGACTTGCCAGATGAGAGCCTATGGGATGAAACCACCTGCAACTCAGCTGTTTGTCAGCATCCACAATGCTGGGCAACTATCCGCCGGATCGAGAGAGGCCACCCTCGAATCCTGAGCTCACCCTGCAAAACTCCTCTGGACACTGAAGGTGTATTATTCAGCCTCTCCTCTTCCTTGCAAGGTCCTTGGTCTATTTATGTTTGGCTTCCTTTCTCTAGGCAACATGTTAACATGTTTTCTTCTGGTCTGTTTTCTCAGATAAACTGCCAGCGCTCACCACTGTAAACATCTCAGATTCTTGCTTTGCTCATCATTTGTCAGATTTTAACATCAGTAAGTCTTGTTCTTTATCGTCTCGAGGTTCAAAGTTTGACTCCAAATTTCCAGGCAGGTAAATTATCATGGAATCTTCCTTTAACAGCCTGTTGTCTCAAAATTCTGGGTTATGATTTTCCTTACTCAGGTGCAGGGCTCATGCCTGTTGTCTCAGCACTTTGGGAGGCTGAGGCTGGAGGATTGCTTGAGTCCAGGAGTTCAGGACCACCCTGGGCATCAAAGTGAGACACCATCTTTACAAAAAATAGAAAAATTAACTGGGTGTGGTGGCATGTTTTAATAATTCCAGCTACTACTTGGAAGACTGGGGCAGGAGGATAACTTGAGAACAGGAGTGAGCCAAGGTCATGCCACTGTACTCCAACCAGGGCAACAGAGGGAAACCCTATCATAAAAGAAAAAAAGAGAGAAAGCGGGATTAAAAAGAAAGCACTAATTCAGTCAAGTGGTGAATAGGCAGTGGAAAACCAAAAGAAAGCATTCTTGCTTATGTTCTAGGAGTTGGTTAATTTGGGTGTGTATTGGTTTGCTCAGGCTGCCATAATAAATTACCATAGACTGGGTGGCTGAAACAACAGCATTTATTTTCTCCTAATTCTGGAAGCTGGAAATTTAGGATCAAGGTGCCAGCAGGGTTGTTTTCTTCTTTTGAGAGTACTCTCCAGAGCTTGTAGATGGCCATTTTCTCTTGATGCCTTAACATGGTCTTCCCTGTGTGTGTATATGTATCCTAATTTCCTCTTCCCATAAGCACACCAGCCATATTTGGTTAGGGCCTACCCAATGACCTCATTTTGCCTTACTTATCTTTTTTAAAGACCCTATCTCCAAATGCAGTCAAATTCTGAAGTACTAGAAGTTAGGACTTCAACAGATGAATTTTGGAGTAGGGGGGCACAGTTCAGCCCATCTTATCAGCTTCTGTAGAATATTAGAAAACTGTGTTCACACTTGCCATCTTTCTTTTTATTTTTAGGTACAGAACTATTTGTAAGCTTCTGAAGGCAGAAGCAGTGGCTTTTCCTTTTTTTCTTTTTAAGGGCAGGATCTAGCGCTGTTACTCAGGCTGCAGTGCAGTGGCACAATCACAGCTCACTGCAGTCTTGAACTGGTCTCAAATAATTCTCCTGCCTCAGCCTCCTGAGTAGCTGGGACTGCAGGCATGCACCACCATGCCTGGCTAAATTTTTTGATTTTTTTTTGTACAGATATAGTCTTGCTATGTTGCAGGTTGGTCTCAAACTCCTGGGCTCAAGTGATCCTTCCACCCTGGCCTCCCAAAGTGCTGAGATTATAGGTGTGAGCCACCACGGCCGGCTGAGCTTTTCTATTTGAATCACCTAAAAATTCTTGGCACTCAATTAGTGCTTGCTGATGTATGGAACCAAGGAACAGGTATCTGTGGAAAACTTAAACTTCAAAAATTGGAAGACTCTTGCCTGGAAGCATAGCACTGGTGGTGGCCCTTGTAGTGGTTTCTTTTTTCCTCTTCCGCTGAAGCAGCCCCTGGTGATTTCTCTTAGGCTAATGATGGAGTAGGAAAGGAGGGCCCGCTTTCAGGTTCTCTAGGACTTGGAAAAACAGTGACATCTGCCAGTCAGGACCTGTGATATGCTTTACATTCACACCGAGGCACACACTGACCCCTGCCATGCCCACTGTGTGCACTGCAGAGCTGTGAGAGAACTGCTTCCTCTTGGCAGCTCCCAGTTTCCATGTCTCCTTCCTTTAGTGTTTCTTACTTTTTGCCTCACACCCTCAATCCTAGACCAGGCCCTCACGACTTCATGTGTGGGTGTTTGCTGTGGCTTCTGAGCTAGTCTCTCTGCCTGTTCCCCTCTAAGCGATTTAATATACGGTCAACAGATTAATCTTCCCAAAATATTGCTTTGCTCATGTTCTTGCTCAAAACCTACCTCATCAGCACATTTTCTAGAGAACAGGTCCAAGCTTCCCTGTTCTGGAGTGGTGGTCTCTTTACTATCTGGCTTTTCTCTAATTTTAGAGTCCTCTCTTCTCTGACGTCAGCTTTTCTTCCGAGCCAAACTGGTTTTATCATTGTGCTTCTCTGTCTCTGACACCTTGTCATGCAATTTCCTCAGCCTTGAGGGCCCTCTTCCCTCTGCTGTTCTTCATTTTCATTTTTCTGCCTTCCTAATGACCCTCATCTTGCATTTCCCCCTTCCTTGTTTAATAGGTTCCGGTCATACACACTTTCTATTCCTCAGGTAGTCTACACTTCCCATTCCAGGGCTTATGCACCTACTGTTACCTCTGAGTAGAACAGTTTTCCCTTAGGTGAGGGTTTTTAAACCCAGCGTATTGATATTTTTGACCAGATAATTCTTTGTCTTGGGGACTGTCTTGCTCATCATTAAAAGTCTAGCCATTCCCAGGTCTCTACCCATTGAATACCAGTACTACTCCCCTCACTTGTAACAACCAAAAGCCTCCAGACATTGCCAAGTGTACCCTGGGAATAAAATTGCCCCTTAGTTGAAAAATATTGCCCTCAATTCTTCCACAGCTAATTCCTTCTTGTCATTCAGGTTTATGCTTAAAAGTTACTTTTTCACTGAAGTTTTCCTTGACCACTCTATATAAAATCTTCTTATACATTCACCATCATTTAACTCTATCTTTTCCTTTCAGTTCTTCTGATCTGAAATGATCCTGGTTGATTTGTTTTCTTCCACTCATTAGAATGTCAGTTCTACCAGAGCAAGAACCATGTTTGTTTTGTTTACTGCTCTATCTCCTATGCCTTCAATAGAGCAAAGATGACATTATAGATAGAGCAACTATAACATTACACTGTAATAAAAGTTATGTGAATGTGATCTCTCAGAATATCTCAAAATGCCTTGCTTTATTGAAGGCACAGGAGATAGAGCAATAAACAAACTACCCCAGCACTCATTGTCCCTGACGTGCTTGTTGATATTTTGATGCTTGTGTCCAGTTTGCCCAACTGGATTTTAGGCCCTTTAAAGGCAGAGGCTGTGACATCATTCTTTAGTCATTCTATTCAGAAATATGTTTTAGTGGGGGCCACTGTGGTAGTTGTTAGGGGTATAACAGGTAACAAGATAAAGTCTTTACTCTGAAAGGATGTTCAACTTAGTTGGGGAAGCAAAGAAATAAGCAGGCAGGGACCATCCAGTGTGATTAGTGTTGTGAGAACACTGCTCCCTAGGTGTGTGGATACACCAGAAAGGGTTCCTAACCCAGGGCTCTGTCTTCTGCACAAGTGGCATCTGTGTCTAGACCGAAAGTTTGAGCAGGATGGTGAAATGGGGGCTGCAGATGGTAGGTGGGCAGGAAAAGAGTTCTAAACTATAGGAATAGCACATGCAAAGTCCTGGAGGCAAGAGGAATTCCTTAGGTATTAGGAAAATAGCTCATTGTGGAACATGGAGCAGGAATGGAAGAGTGGTCAGAGATGAGGCTGGGAAGCTGGAGTAGAAATAGAAAGCAAGGCCCTGCTTCATATAGGACTTCATAAATCAGGCTGAGACTTGGGTTTTTATCTTGTAGCTCTTTGTGTTATTCAATCATTCATTCATGTCCCATGTTTTTTAAAAAGTAAAATAGTGGGTGGTATGAAAATATAAGGGGATGATTTTTTTTTTTTTTTTGAGTTGGAGTCTCACTTTGTTGCCCAGACTGGAGTGCAGTAGCCGCTCCCGGCCACCGCAGCCTCAACCTGCTGGGCTCCAGTGATCCTTCCGCCTCAGCCTTCCAAGTAGCTGGAACTACAGGTGTGCGCCACCATGCCCAGCTAGTTTTTTGATTTATTGTGGAGATGAGATCTCACCAAGTTGCCCAGTCTGGTCTCAAACCTGTGGACTCAGGCAATCCTCTCACCTTGGCCTCCCAAAGTGAGGCCACACACGTAGGGATTATAGGTGTGAGCCACTGCGCCTGGCCATTTTATCCATTTTTAAATATATAATTCATTTGCTAAATATAGTCACTATCCATGTCCAGAAATTTTCATCATCTCAAACAAAAACTGTACCTATTAAACAATAACTCCCCACTGCCTCCTCTTCCCAGTCTCTGGTAGTCTCTTTTCTGTTTTCTAAATTTGCCTAAGTACCTCATATAAGTGGAATCACACAATATCTGCCCTTTTGTGTCTGGCTTATTTCACTTAGTATAATGTTTTCAGTGGTTCATCTATGTAGTATATACAGTCTTCCCCTCTTATTTACAGAGGATACATCACAAGACCCCCAGTGGATGCCTGAAACTGGGGATAGTACCCAACCTTACTGTTTCTTTCCTATACATACGTATATATGGTAAAGTTTAATTTCTAAATTAGGTATAGTAAGCAGTTAACAATAATAATAAGATAGAGCAACTATGACATTATACTGTAATAAAAGTTATGCAAATAGCGTCTCTCAGAATATCTCAAAATACCTTACTTATAGGTACTCACCCATTTTTGGACCAATATTGACTGTGGGTAACTGAGACCATGGATAAAGGGGAACTACTAAATCAGAATTTCATTATTTTTTAAAGCTCACTAATAGTTCTGTTGTATGCATGCATGTTATATACACACAACATTATGTTTAATGTGTTTGAGCATCTACATCAAAAGTACTTAATGAACTTTTATTGATGGTGTTGTAAACTAATACTAGTTGGAGAGAGAGGCAAAGGTTATGAATTCACTTTGATGCAACAGATAGTTGTGCAGTATTTTCAGTGCCAGTTTAGGAACTGTTCCAAGTAAAACAATCAAAACTTAAGGATATGGTGATCCCTGTATTTATTTGCTAAGTATTAAGCCCAAGATTTTCTGTAGATAAGTAGAAGGGTTTTCCTGGTAGCACTAACTTCATCATCCCAATAAGTCTTTTGTATTTTCATTTCATGTTTAGAATTCTCATTTTTTAGGTCTCAAAAGGATTTACCTGGCAAAAGTTTGATCAACCGTGCTATTAGATCTTCCAAAGTAAGTCACAGATTTTATTTTATTTTATTTATTTCTCAAATCGGAGTCTCACTCCATTGCTCAGGCTGGAGTGCAGGCTGGAAGGCATGCTGACCTCAGCCTTGACCCTGCTAGTTCAGGTGATCTTTTTGCCTCAGCCTTCTAAGTAGATGGGACTACAGATGTGCGTCACCACACCCAGCTAATTTTTTGATTTATTGTAGAGATGAGGTCTCGCTATGTTGCCCAGGTTGGTCTCCATCCTGTGGGTCCAGGCAGTCCTCTCACCTCTGCCTCCCAAAGTGCTGAGATCACAGTTGTAAGCTACCATGTCTAGCTAGTCACAGATTTTTTTTTTCCTCATTCAACTTCACATTTTATTTTCATGACATTGGATTTGGGGAAGGAAAGGAGTCCTGGCTATACAGAACTGTGATAATTCTCTGTCTTTCAACTGCAAAGATCCATGTTCAAATTGTCTTCAAGTTCAGGATGTGGTTTGAAGTCAGCAGAGCTGACCATTGCCGTTGGGGAGTGAGGTCTGAGGAGACATGTTTCTTCTAGTGCTGTTGCAGGGTTTGCTGAGGGGCTCTTCCTCAGGACTGGGATAGGGTTTGCTCTTGGGGCTCTGCTTGACCTGGTGAACAGTCCTATGTAAGCCCTACAAGCTCGTCACCATCTGGAAATATTGTGGCCAGTTCTAATTTTCCAAGGAATCTCCATTCTTGTAGGAAACTCTGGATTTCCTGGTCTCTTCAAGGACTGGCTAAATTCCATGTTTTTCTGCCAGAATTCTGAGATTGACAACCTTGAAGTTCAGTTTCTTCATAAGTGCTTATCAAGTGATAAGATTAATTTCTCTGCCTCACTCTGTACCACATGCTGCTCAGTGCCAGGTCTCCCAGGAGGTGCCAACCATAATAGCCACGCAAATGCCCATGGTGGGGTCTAGGGTCGCCATGTCCTCAGGCGGTGGGTGCAGGCCTGGCAGGAATAGGGCATCCCTCTGGAGCCAGGCTCACTGCCCATGGGCCTGCCCCACCTTGTCTTGTGCCTCCTGCTGGGGGCCACAAAAGCCTAGTCACAGATTTTAAAAGGTGTTTCCTCAACATTTTCTCTTTACTAGTGGGAATAAATTTTGCCTTAATTTACCATTATTCCTGAGGATGACTATAACCTGAATAATGATGTGCATAATAGCTATCCAATATTGGGGCCTTACTGTACTCTAGGCTCTGTGCTAATAGCTTTACGTGCCATATTGTTTTCAGAAATCCTAGACACAAGTGGGATTGATTTGTGGAGGTTTGATGTAGGTGAGAATTTACTGTCTCTGTCCTGCATAGATCATGTTCAGCTGCTATGTAAACATTATTATCTCCTAATCAGGGAAATTAGAATGCTGGAAGTCAGACCTAAAATGGACCTTAAGGTCATTTGGTCTGATAACCTTCACATTTTTTTTTTTTTGAGTTGGAGTCTCACTCTGTCGCCCAGGCTGAAGTGCCTTGGTACACTCACAGCAACCCCGGCATCGACCTGCTGGGTTCCAGCAATCCTTTCATCTCAGCCTTCCAAGTTGACGGAACTAAAGGCGCATACTACCACGCCCGGCTAATTTTTTTGATTTTATTGATTTTTTTAATTACATGCTGAGCCACCGAGCCCGGCCCACATTTTTTTTAAAGCTATGATCCATGGTAAGAAATAGATTTTATGACCAGGCGCTATGACTCATGCCTGTAATCCCAGCACTTTGGGGGGTGAAAGTGAGAGTACTGTCTGAGCCCAGAGATTAGAGACCAACCTGGACAATTTGGTGAGACCTTATCTCTATAATAAATCAAAAAATTAGCTGGATGTGGTGACAAGTGCCTGTAGTCTCAGCTACTTAGAAAGCTGAGGCGGAAGGATCGCCTGAGCCCAGTAGATCGAGGTTGTGGTAGCTGTGAGCATGCCACTGCACGCTAGCCTGGGCAACAGAGTGAGACTCTGACTCTAAAATAAGTAATTAAATAAAAGAAAATAAATAGATTTTATAATAAAAATATCATGGAACAAACTTTACACTAACTATAGATGATGTACTCTGGTATTTTCTATTCTTTCTGTTTTATTTTACTTCCTTTATTTTTCTTTTGAGTTGGAGTCTCACTTTGTCACCCAGGCTGGAGTGCAGTGGTACGGTCAAGGCCACCACAGCCTCCACCTGCTGGGCTCAGGTGATTCTTCCGCCTCAGCCTTCCAAGTAGCTGGAACCACAGGCGTGCGCTACCACACCCAGCTAATTTTTTTTTTATTTATAGTAGAGATGAGGTCTTGCCAAGTTGCCCAGATTGTTCTTGAACCCATGAGCTCAGGCAATCCCCTCACCTCAGCCTCCCAAAGTTCTGGGATTATAGGCTTGCCTGGCCTTTTTTTTGAGTTAGGTCTCACATAGCCTTGATCTCGTGGGCTCAGGTGATCCTTCCACCTCAGCCTCCCTAGTTGCTGGGACTATAGGTGTGTGCCACGACTATAGGTGTGTGCCACCACACCCAGATAATTTTCTGATTTTTTGTAGAGACAAGGTCTTACTATATTGCTTAGGCTTGTCTTGAACTTCTGGGCTCAAGCAATCTTCCTGCCTCGGCCTTCCAGAATGCTGGGATTACAGATGTGAGCCATTGTGTTTGGCCTATTTTTTTTTTTTTTTGAGTTGGAGTCTCACTCTGTCGCCCCGACTGGAGTGCAGTGGCTGCTCCCAGCCACCGCAGCCTCGACCTGCTGGGCTCTGGCGATCCTTCCGCCTCAGCCTTCCAAGTAGCAGGAACTACAGACGCGTGCTACCGTGCCTGGCTAATTTTTGATTTATTGTAGAGATAAGGTCTTGCCAAGTTGCCCAGGCGGGTCTCGAACCCACGGGCTCAGACAATCCACTCACCTCAGTCTCCCAAAGGCGCGGGATTACAGGCTGAGCCACCGAGCCCAGTTTATACTTCATTTTTTTTTGAGTTGGAGTCTCACTCCGTCGCCTAGACTGGAGTGCAGTGGCCGCTCCCGGCCACCGCAGCCTCGTCTGCTGGGCTCCGGCGATCCTTCCACCTCAGCCTTCTGAGTAGCCGGAATTACAGGCATGCGCTACCACGCCCGGCTGATTTTTTTGATTTATTGTAGAGATGAGGTCTCGCTGCCCAGGCGGGTCTCGAACCCGCGGGCTCAGGCAATCCACTCACCTCAGCCTCCCAAAGGCGCGGGATTACAGGCTGAGGACCGAGCCCGGCTTATACTTCATTTTTAAGCAATGTGGATTGTGATCCACAAATTACAATTGCTATTTAAAGAACATTGCATCTTATATCTTATACCGAGGCCCAGATAGGAAGTGATTTGCTAAAGGACATAGTTAGGAGTAGAACTGAATTAGAACTTTAGGAAAAAAAGCCTTCCTATTTACCTACAGTAAAGTGATATTTATTATTCTTTGCAGTTCTATTGGATGCTTTTTATGTTTTTTATTATTTATTTATTTATTAAGTGAGAAAGCAGGATTTATTAAGAGGACAGAAAAGCTCCCACAGTGGGAAGGAACCCAAAGGAGTTGCTCGCTTTTTATTTTTTTCAATGAGATGCTTTACTTTTCAATATCATGTGGTAGAACAAAGACATGGTAGATGGGTTTTAATATATGAATGAACAGATCACTTTACCCCTTTAGCCTCTTTAGAACAAGAGGATAAGATTAATTTATTTTTAATTATTTGAATAGATAATTAAAATAATTATCTATTTGAATAGATAAACATGTTATCTAAATTCAAAAGACATAAAAGGTTTTGCAGTGAAAAGAAGTCTCTCCTGTTCCCTTTCACAGCTCCTTTTCACAGGGCAACCTTATATGGTCTAGGTGATTTACAAATTTTCCTTCAGCACTGCTGTTTTAAGATACTAAATAGCTAAATGTGAGAAGAGTTAACATCTTAACTGTTATATAGATGCCTATAGTTGTAGACAGGCTGTAAAAGTAGAAAACTTGCTTCTATCTCTACCAGCTTTCTCCTTGCTCCTCAACTATTGATTATATTTTCTTCAGGGATCTAAGTCTTTGGAATGGAGTGGGCAGGATGAGTAGGGTTCCTCTAGAAAAATCCCAAGGCAACCTCATATGGGATGGGATTGAAATTGCTAAATACCACCCCCAGTGTCACAGGAAAGTAGAGATTATTTGCTTACAAATGCTCACTCTTGCAGGTAGCTGTACTGATACCAATACCAGATTATGTAGTCTGGATTTTTTGGAGAATATTATGATGATGTTTTGGGGATGGGAAATTTTTTTTTTTTAAATCATCTTCTGAGCCACCAAACCCTCTTGTTAGCATAGTTCATCTCTTAGTTTGGTATAAGAACCTGGCACCTCAAGCCATACATAGACTTTGTATCTTTCCTTTAGCTTTCAGTGTTGAATTTGAATGAGACACAACTTCCCTGCTCTAAAGATGTCAGAAATATGGTTGTAATCTGGATCCCAGAAGAAAGAGAGAAGCATATGAGGTGAGTATCACATCTAGATCTTGGGGGCCTTTGACTCTTGTATTCTGCAAATCCCTATTGTTTTCTGCAGGCCTCCTTTTTGTAACCTCTTTTTTTACCACCTCATTGCAAGTATCGGGGGCTAAGCAGAGGAGAAGGTCACGGTCTCTTGCATAGACCTCTTGTAATTTTATTTTAATGCATTTTGAGATTCATGCTGTGGGACTTTCCTACATCAATTATACATGGCAGTAAATAGCATATAAGCTAGCATCCGACTTATTTGTAAGGTTTGATTAAGAAATAAATGCTCAGCCAGGCTCTGTGGCTCAGTCTGTAATCCCAGCACTTTGGGAGGCTGAGGCGAGTGGATTGCCTGAGCCCGCGGGTTCAAGATCCACCCGGGAAACTTGGCGAGACCTTGTCTCTACAATAAAGCCAAAACTAGCCAGGCATAGTAGCTCACGTGTATAGTTCTGGCTACTTGGAAGGCTGAGGTAGAAGGAATGCTGGAGCCCAGCAGATCGATGCTGTGGTGACTGGGAGCGTGCCCTACTGCACTCCAGTCTGGGCGACAGAGTGAGACTCCAACTCAAAAAAAAAAAAAGAAAGAAATGCTCTCTGTTGGCTTTTCTTATTAGCCATTAGCAACTAGTGAAAAGTCTCAGTAAACAACATGAATCTCTAATCTCAACCCCAAGGCCTAATACAGTGGTACAAAATAAATAGCATCTGGGACTTGTATACAAAGCAGAGCATGACAGAGGTCATTTGGTGAGGATCCAAAAGACTTTCTATTATTGACAATAATGGGGAAAGTGTTTTGTCTTTCTTTCCTTATCACTGAGGCTTTCAGATTCTTGTTAAGTGGCTGTTTTAGAGTTGATGAGACTTAAAATCTTATTTCTATTTCATTTTGTTGTTCTTTTAAAAAAATGATCCTGTGAATGCTTAAGTATGCATTTTGCATGTGTGTACACATATATGTATGCATGTGTATACATACATATACATATATTCACACACACATATATATGGTGTAAATAACAACAGAATAATTCTATTGGTTTATTTCCTGTCATGTGAAAGCAGCCAAGCAAGCTGGGGCAAGCTGGGGCATGTCAGCTCCATGCCAAGCCAAGGCTGCTTCTAGCTTTCTGGGCCATCATCCTTAGCCCATGGCTTCCAACTTCTAAGGTGTTTCATGGATGCTTTTAAGGTCTGAGTTAGCTGCTGGAGCTCCAGCTATCATATCCATGCCCCAAGCAAGGAGGAGGAGAAGGACAGAGCAAAAAATACTTCTTGAGCAACTCCTCTGTGCTAAGCAGTGAGGATCCAGTGGAGAATTAAATAGATTTGGTCCCTGTCTTCCTGGTGCCTTATGGGGGAGAGGAGTCAGACATTACAAACATAACCACACTTAAGCATATAATTTGTAATTTGGATTCATGCTATGAAAGTATATAACTGGATTATCTGAGAGAATGATGGGAAACCTAATTTAGATATGAGGGTGGGGGATCTTTTTAGCAACAAGGACCTGAGCAGCAGTACTGCTGGGCTCCCAACCAGCTATCTTTGAGTAGTGATTAGAGATAGGAATCTCTGTGGTCATTTTTCACACATATCCTTGGTACTTCTATTTAAAATGCCTGGCGGCCAGGCGTGGTGGCTCAGCCTGTAATCCCAGCACTTTGGGAGGCCCAGGCGAGAGGACTGCCTGAGCCCGGGAGTTCGGGACCAGCCTGGGCAACCTGGTGAGACCTCATCTCTACAATAAATCACAAGAATTAGCTGGACATGGTGGCATGCGTCTGTAGTTCCAGCTACTTGGACAGCTGAGGTGGAAGGATTGCCTAAAGCCGAGAATGCGGTGGCCATGAGCGTGCCATTGCACTCCAGCTTGGGTGACAGAGTGAGGCTCCAACTCAAAAAAAGAAAAGAAAAGAAATGTCTGGGAGTAAGTTGTGCTTATTCTTATTTCAAGTCCATCTGAGAAGCATGTTTTGCCTAGCCAGCATGGGAAGAAGAAAAGAAAGAACTTGGCAGTGGTGAGTTCAGTGTTTTGTCCAAACCTTTATAATATTACAATGTAGAGTTCATTTTTCTTTTTCTTTTTTGTCTCTTCCTCACCCCCTTATTCTTTCCCTAAACGGACAAAATCTGCAAAAGAAAACCTTTCCTTAGTAATAATTACCAAACTGTTTTCTATTCAGAGATTCTTTTTCCCTACCTCCTCCCCTGTAGGGAGGTAAAGAGTACCAAGTTGGGAATTCAGGAGGGGAATTTTTGGTCACTTAGAAACTAATCCCCTGTGTGATGGAAAAGAATTTCAGTGGACCCAGAGTTATAATACCCGGTCCTTTAATTCTACCATTTATGGGCAAATGTGACCTTGGATAAGTCACAGAGCTGTAAGATTGCTGTGTTCATGAGAATAGTGTCTTGGTCCATTTTGTTCATTGCTTAGTCCCCATCACTAGCCCTGTGTCTGACATGTAGACAATAAATGTTTGTTCAGTTTCTTGAGCGAATAAATGAGTGAACTTTCTGGAAATATAAAACAAACAGAACAGCGAATCCCTGTATGATCTGAATACAACAATAGGGTTGGGAACCGAGAGGGAAGCATGTTGTCCTCATAGTGCAGAGGAGGCAAGAATGGCAAGGAGGTCTGGAAACAAGTTTCACCTGCCAGGGTTGTGCTGGGAGGCTACAATATCTATGGGAGGAAATGGGCACAAAGAGTGCTTTGGAGAATTCTTCCCATTGTTTCTCTTCCAGAAAAACAAGTCATCTTGGGGTCTCTCTAGGAAGGAGTACACAGAAAAGCAGTTGAGAATTCCAGGGACAGTTGTGCCTCCCCCCACTCCAGTACACTCGTCTGAACAATTACATTCAGATTTCATGCCTTTCTGGGCCCAGTTCGGCATGTTACCTCAGGATCTACTGAAGGAGTAAGTGTTGTATAGGTCTATGGGTGGGCCAGAGCACCTACTTTTCATTGAGGCTGAGAAGGGTCTGCGCAATTTGCTCTTTCTGAGTAGGGCTAAGAGAAAACTGTCACACTACTTGTTTATTGAATTCTTAGATTAACCAACAGGCAGCGATGATGATAATAACCAGCATTTATCAGGCACTTACCATTTGCCAGGCCCTGTGCTAAGCACATTACATGTCCTCTCATTTCAGGCTCCACTAAGAGGCACTATTACACCCTTTCTTTTATAGATGAATTATGAATAAGCGGGAGGTAGAATGATGTATGTGGTTGGAGTGAGATGACCTTTGAATTTTTTATTGAAAACTTAACTGGCTTTGTGAATTTTGGTAATTTATTTAGCCTCTTTAAGCTTCATTTCTCTCATTTGCAAAATGGGAATAATAATACCTGTCCTCAGGGTGTTGTAAGAATTCAGCAGCATGAAGCACATGAACCTGACATAGAGTAAACATTAATGAATACAGCTGTGATGATCACAGTTGTATCTGAAAGATACTACCAAATGAGCACCTGCTGGTACAGGCCTTTTCAGACCTAAGGTGGAAATTTCTTGGAGTCTTTCTTGTTTCTTTCTCCTCAGCCACACCTTTTGAGAAGAGCTGTTGCTGACTGTCTGGCTGTCTCTGTCCCATTCAGAGCTTTGTCAGATGGAGGGAAAACCGTACTCTCTCCACAGATGAAGATACAATTGGCCATGATGAAAAAGAATCTTCCCCTGGAAAAGAACCGACCTGACAGTGCAATTTCTTCCAAGATGTTTCTATCTATTCACCGCCTCACCCTGCAAGTAAGAGCTAGGTAGCCTCCGAGGAAGAAGTCTATACTTCTGTCCTTCCACTCTAAACCCAAGCACCATAGAAGACTGGGCTGTTAGTGGGTGGAAGCCACTCTGTGGGGAAGGGTGTGAGGAGAGTGTTCTCCATTTCTTCAGCACTTTGTTCCCACACCTTTTCTGTTCTTCCATCACCCTTGGCACACTGCTGCAAAACAATAGGTTCTTAAAATGTGCTTATTGACTAGATGAATAGAGGCATTTGGGGAACGGGACCTACAGCAGAGCTTTTCTTCTTCTTTTCTCTAGAGACCAGCATTGCGATATCCTGAACATGTGAAGAAATTGTATAACCCGAAGACAGAAGGTAGATTTGCTGGTGCTACTGGATCTATCTTGAAGTACCGTTCCCCCTCTGCCCATATCTCATACTTAAACTTGGTCTAGTTCAGTTGTATTTGTGGCGATGGTCACAATACAGAGTCACATGTAGAACTCAGGAAACTCTGGTTCCAGGAAGCAGCCCCCTGGCTTGGTCCTGACTAAGGAGAGAATCACCATTTTGGAGTAGGGCACAGCAGGCAGCCCGGTGGGAGAGTGGGGGCTGTCAGTGGGAAGAGAATCAAGCTGGCTCTCTGGTCACCCACCAGGTTACTGGAAACAGCGGCAGCAGCAGCAGCAGAAAAAGGCGAAAACACCTACTAAGAAGCAGGTGAGGGCAGTGAGGGACTTGCTGGGCTTGGGAGAAGCAGGTGCAGCCCGAAAAGGAAGGGATGTATGAGAGGGAGCTCTTCTTGTTCTCTGTCTAGTTAGAAAGCTCCTGTCTGGTTGTAGATGTTAAATTCCTTCTTTGAAACTTCTTTTGAAGAAGTTTTCTTCACTTCCAAAAGTCCTAATTCAGTTCCTCCTCATGTGGTTTCAGGAGGCTAAAAAGAAAACCAAGAGCGATCCCGAGAGTCAGGGTGCTTCACGTAAACATTCAGTTACCATCGTTTATGACCCTCTCTCTGGTAAGGAGAAGGTGTGCTTGGTTGGGGGGTGGTAGAATCCCAGCATATAGCTGAGAGCAGGAAAAGTTGAACATGCTTTTGTCATCTTGAGGCCTGCCTTTGTCAGGCCCTCAGAATTCTTGGAATGCTTTTGTCTGGCTGGTCTGCCCTGCATCCTCCTTCCCTCAAATATTTACTAAGCAAGCAAGGGAGTCCAGATGTCTGCTTCACATGGGGATCTGAGATTTGAGTGTGAGTCATAGTTATTTTTTTCTCAGATTCTATCTTTTTTTTTTTTTTTTTTTTTTTTGAGTTGGAGTCTCACTCTGTTACCCTGGCTGAAGGGCAGTGGTACGCTCACAACCATCTTAGCGTCAACCTGCTAGGCTTAGACGATCCTTCCGCCTCAGCCTTCCAAGTAGCCAGAACTACAGGCGTGGGCTACCATGCCTGGCTAATATTTTTTTGATTTATTGTAGAGATGAGGTCTTGCCAAGTTGCCCAGGCTCTTCTCGAACCCATGGGCTCAAGCAGTCCCTTCACCTCAGCTTCCCAAAGTGCTGGCATTACAGGCTTGAGCTGCTGGGTCTGCCCAGATTCTATCTTAGAAAAGACAGAGCACTTTGAGGATCAGGAGAGGAGTAAGCATAGGCTACGAAAGAGAAGACCCCTTAGGGCCTGTTGTCCAGTGAGGCAGGGAGGAGCTGGGGTTCCTCTGTAGAGCCCCAAAAAAGTTCTAGTGAAGCAGACCTCCAGGGTCCCTTGACTTCCCTGCCTAAGCTAGAGAGTTTCTGGAGCTTCTGGTTGAAATCAACATGTTGTCTAGCCCCATCCAGGAGGCGGGTAGCCAGTTCTTGTCAGGTAATCCTTTTCCTCTAGTGCTCATGTTGGAGACTGTGGATATCTCCCCTTTTTGGAGTCCTTTTCATGTATGAGCTGAGGGATATACTTATCCCTGGACGTCCTTGTGATATTTCTTAGCTTGATTGCAGAATGGGAGAAAGGGAAAAAGAATCCCCCAAACCTTTGGAAGATTGTTGTGCCCTACTCAAAATGGACATTACTGACTTTAATGTGAAAACAACTGTTTAATCATCAAATTTCACTCTCCAGTCCTGGGGAGGGCTCAGGTGAGGTTTCCTGAGAAGGATGTTGCCCTCTTGATTTCCTTCCCATCCCACTGAGCCCTCTGATACCAACTATGTCCTCTAACCTGAAGATTTAAGAAGGTTCCTGTCCTTCTCATGGGAGGTAGACAGAATCAGAGCTGCAGCCCAGGGTGGGAGGTGACGTATCCAAGGTTAGCTCGTCATCTAGGATGATCACTACCATTCCCCTGAATTCCATTCTGGTGCCTTTTAAACCTCTTCCTGATGCCTCTAAGAGGAGCAGTTTTGCATGGGTGATGGGATGTCTCTGTCATGTTCTTAGAGCAGTTGCCTGTGCTCACTGAGTTGAGAAAGGCCTTATGGAAGAGATGATTTTTGCATTGGATCTTGAATATGTGTCGGAGTTTTCCTGATATGGAAAAGTATTCCTAGAAGTGGAAATAGCTTGTGCAAAGGCATCTAGGAGGAGCATGGCTGCTTAGAAAACACTAAACAGTTCAGTGTGGCTGTGGGGTTGGACATTTAAGGGAGAGTGATAGATCAGGCTGAAGAGGTAGGTAGGGCCTTGTGTAGACTGCTGACACACTTGACCTTTATCCTCCAGGTCAGTGGTGCTCAACTTTGACTGCACATTGAAACCAAAGCTCCTAAAACTCTAATGCCTAGGCTGTACCCCAGCCTATTAAATCAGAATTTTAGTGGTGGGAGCCAGGCCTCATTGTTTTTTAAAGCTCCTCAGTGCTCTCAATATTCCCCTAAGGTGAGAGCCAGTGCTGGTAGGTCTTATAGAAGAGATTATTTTAGACAGAATCAGAACTGTGGCCTAGAGCAGGAAGTGAGCCAACAGAAATGCTGTCTTTTAGCAATAATACCTCTCGTGGCAGCTTGGAAAATGTTTGTTTAGAGAAAAGGAGATGGAGAAAGGAAAGAATGAATGCATTTAGGGACTAGTTGGGGAAGCAGCTAATGCAAAAGAAACAAAACTAGATTCTGGATTTGTTTGTGGGTACGTTAGGAGTGGTGCAAGAAAGTGAGTCACATTCTAGTAAGAGGAGTATTCATAAACTATGAAAAGGTAGAGTTAGGGCTTCTTTTGTTGCTACATTGTGCTGATACCTGCCCCTGGCGTTTCTTGGAGGAATCCTGGGTCTTTTAACACATGCTTTACCTTATTCTCTAATTCTGTAATAGATATGGTCACAGTCTTAGGTGAACAGAATCTCAAATAGAACTCAGAAGGCCTATCTTTTACTTGTCAAAGTCTTATCTTTTCCTGGATGGGGAGACACTTGTAGACAAGGGGTCAACCAGAAGTTCAGCAATAGGCTGGGTGAGGTAGCTCACACCTGTAATCCCAGCACTTTGAGAGGCCAAGGTGGGAGGATTGCTTGAGCCCAGGAGTTGGAGACCAGTCTTGGAAACAGGAAGACCTCATCTCTACAAAAAAAAAAAAAGAAGCCCCAAGTGCCAATAAGAGGAGGAGGATTAAATTGACTTTGTGGTCACTAGGTTATAGAACACTGCCAATTCTGAAAAGTGCCATGAATCAGAAGCAGAAGATAGAGCTAGAAGGAGCCACCTTGAAACAGGTAAGCGTATACTAGGATCTCTGCTAGGTTTCAGTTTCAGTTATCTATTACTGTGTATCTACCCCAAAGCTTAAACCCTAGTGATTTCTTATTTCTAATGATTCTGCAGGTTGTCTAGATGGTTATTCTCATCTTGCTTGAGGTCACTTAATACAGCTGGGCTGGGGCCATTGGCCAAGGTGGCTGAATTCTCTTCCATGAGGCCTCTGCATATGACTTGTTTGGGCTTTTTGACAGCATAGTTGTCTCACGAAAGCACTTTCTTAAAGGATGGGCCTGGAACTAAAACAGTGTCACTTCTGCCACAATTTACTGGCCAAGGAAGTCACAAGTCCAGCCCAGATTCAGGAGGACAGGATATAGCCTCCATCTCTTGATGGGAGGAGCAGCATGTGCATACTGGCATGGGAGAAATTGTTTGCAGCTATCTTTGGAGGTGGTCTGTCTTTAGTTGACTGCTTAGAATGGGAAGAATTGGGTTCTGACTTCATCTGGACAGCTTGGAAGGCAAGGAATATGTGATACAAGTTTCTCTTCAATCCTTTTAGTTTCCTAAAGTCTTGGTTCAAGTTTCCTTACACTTACCCCAATGAATTTCAGGATTCCACAGAGAGACCAAAGAGGGACCACTCTGGTAAATATGTGGATTTCTCCTTCAGTGTGGAAGGTAAGTTATTAGACTGAAGCAAGCTTGGTAAGTGAATGAGGATAGGGAGAGCTAAACTTGTGTTGATCAGAATGGTTTACCTCCCTGAAGCCACAGTTCTCTTGCTTCACTGAGGTCCCAGAAAATATCCCAATCTTTCCTTTTCTGTCCTTTATCACCGTTTTTTGGGAGAAGGTTACAGGTACGATTAATGGCTGGGTCTCCCTTTAGGTCCTGGATTATCTGAAACAGAACTCACTAACAAGGACATTAGTGCTCCGGTGGAGGCTGTGCTCAAGGAAGCTGACGAGATCTCCAGTCGCCTTTCAGAAAGTATGGCTGGAATAAGCTGGAACCCTGAGCTCAAACTACTGAGAATTCTTCAGGCCACTGATGATGATGATGAGGAGAACCAATCTTCTGGGTCACAGAGTGATGCGTTTTTGGAGGAATAGACTGAAGGCATCCTTATTCCACAGCAGGATGCTTGGCATCCTAAGGACAATGGGTTTGACATAAGGGTAGAAAGGGCAGGGGACTTCTGCTCTTGGGGATTCTGTTTTCTTCATTCACTTTTACTGCTTCTAAAATAAGTGAGGGAGGAAAAAGCCTCACTCCTTTTAAGCTTAGATTATTTCTCTTCCATTGGGATCAGTATGATTTTAGCTATTAAATGCAACTGCTTCTCAATCAAAAGACTCATTTTCTGTCTCTGGAAGGAGGAGAGAGATGTTTCTTGGTATTTGTTTTCGTTTTCTGGGTTACTTTTATCTCATCTCTGAAACTCTGAAAGTTTTCCAGTTGTAGGAAGCTGAATTTAGCCTGTGGGAACCCATATCGTACTCCCTAGGTTTTTATCTCATTCCCTAGAAATAGTTTATTCTGAAGATGGACTCCACATCATTATCAGGTAATATTCATTGTGTCCCCATGTATGTGATACTGGACTAGTATTAATCTGGAAGAGTTTAAGGCTCCAGTTTCTAAGGAACTGAGTCTGCAGGAAAGTTTCAGCATTGCTTATAAAGAATCAGCATTTCAAAGACTCAGGAGATCTCTAACTTGGTCTTGGAAGGGTTTTTTTTTTCATGTTTTAGTCCTTAAAAAACTCTTAATAGAGAATCTCAAAATTATTTAAAAGGAAAGAGAATAATATAATGAAACTTTCACATACTCAGTCCCTTGGATCTTTCTTGTCCATCCTCCCAAGAGTGAACTGTCCCACCTGTGTGTGCAGTGCTGGGTTCGAGGTAGCTAAGAGAGGTCTACGAGGGAACTATTTAGAGAGGATGTGCCCAAGACTTGAACATGTGGACTGGGATGTCTGCCTGTGTGGCCTTTCCTAATAAGGATAGGGTCTGGGGATTAGACATGTGGCCTATGGACTGGAGCTTGTTCTCATATTGCATGTCAGGTGTGGAAACTCAAGGAATCTGAATTTTGAATGAACCTGGCCTTCTAGATCATGAAGCTATACTAGTCAAGGTAGGATAGAACACGTTTTGACAATTTGTTAGTTTGATTTATAGTTTGTTAACATTCAGACATGGCTAGTAGACCTGCTTTTGTGCTCTTATCTGAATCCTGCAAAAGTTACCCATACCCAAAATCGGGGACACATTTTTTTTTTTTTGAGTTGGAGTCTCACTCTGTTGCCCAGACTGGAGTGCAGTGGCCGCTCCCGGCCACCGCAGCCTCGACCTGCTGGGCTCCGGCGATCCTTCCGCCTCAGCCTTCCGAGTAGCCGGAATTACAGGCATGTGCTACCATGCCCAGCTGATTTTTTTTTTGATTTATTGTAGAGATGAGGTCTCACTGCCCAGGCGGGTCTCGAACCCGCGGGCTCAGGCAATCCACTCACCTCAGCCTCCCAAAGGCACGGGATTACGGGCTGAGTCACTGAGCCCGGCTGGGACACATTTTAAGGAGAAATAATTTAACACCACAGTTTAGGGATCACTAAAATGAGGACAGTGAGGTGCAGAGAGGGGACGTATCTTGACTGAGGTCGTTAGCTGGGAAGTGGTGGAGCTGAACTGGAATCTGGGTCTCCTACTGCTAGGTCAGAGCTCTTTTCATTACTCCAGTCTACTTCCGCCTTACTTCATTCTCCAAAAATCATGTTAAGTTATTCATCATCGCATTTAACCAGAGATTGATGCCCGTCCTTTTCTGTTGTGCTACCTTCTATCTTTCTCTATAACTTATTAATGTAGTTCCCAGGGATGCTGTCTCCCTGCTCTGTTTTAATCAGGAAAATTAGAAACATACAAAAGTTAATGTATTCCTGTGTGTCCATTATCTAACAATCATCAACTTATTGTCATTCTTGCCTCATCTACACCCCCACCCTGAACAAGATTATTTGAAGCAAAGGCCATTTTATCCATAAATACTTCAGTATCCATTTATAAAAGAAATACATTTTTTAAAAACCCACAAAATCATTTAATACAAAAAAAATCATCATTTAATATCATCAAATATCCAGCCATACTCAAATTTTCCTGCCTTATTAATTTTTTTCACAGTTGATAGATTCAAATTAGAATCCAAATAGAGTCCATAAGTTGCATTTGGTTGATATGCTCTAAAATTACTTTTAATCTATAGGTCCCTCCTTTCTCTTTTTTTCTTTTCCTTTTCTTACACTTTATTTGTTGAAGGACACCAAGTTGTTTGTTCTATAGTTTCCTACATTCTAGATTTTGCTGATTGCATCACCATGGTGTTGTTTAAAATGACTTGTCATTCTTTTTATTTCTGCAGACTGGTAGATCCAGAGGCTTGAGCTGATTTAAGAAAATTTCCTAGTTGGCATTCTGTACTTCCACCAGAAGGACCATAATGTCTGGGTTTCTCTTCTCTGATCTTAGTGACCAACGATGATCCTTGCCTGATGTTTATGTATTGATTTTGTATTCTGCAACATTATTTAACTTATTACTTAGTTCTAGTAGTTTTTTTAGTGAATTTCTTAGGATTGTTTGTATACAAGATTATGTCATCTGCAAAGAGAGGTATTTTTATTCCTTCTCTTTTAATCTTGATGCTTTTAATTTATTTTTCTTGCCTAACTATTCTGACTAGAATCTCTAGTACAATGTTGGATGAAGTGGTGAGTGTAGACATCCTTGTCTTATTGCTGATCTTAGAGGGAACACATTCAGTCTTTCACCATTAAGTATGATGTTAGCTATGGGTTTTTCGTAAAAGACCTTTATTAAATTGAACTCCTTTTTACCCCTAGTCTGTTGGTTTTTTGTTTTGCTTTGCTTCTTACTCATGAAACGGCATTGGATTTTGTAAATGGTTTTTCTGCATCTATTGTGATGATCATGTGGTTTTTTTTGGAGTCAGAGTCTCACTCTGTCGCCCAGGCTAGAGTGCAGTGGCATGCTTATGGCTACTGCAGCCTCGATCTGCTGGGCTCAGGCCATCCTTTTGCCTCAGCCCTTCAAGTAGCTAGAACTACAGGCTGGCGCCACCATGTCTGCCTAATTTTTCAGTTTATTGTTGAGACAAGGTATCGCCAAGTTGTCCAGGCTGGTCTCGAACCCCTAGGCTCAGGCAAATCCTCTTACCTCCACCTCCCAAAGCGCTGGGATTACAGGTGTGAGCCATCATACCTGGCCTGATCATGCATTTTTGATTTTTGGTTTTTCTTCTATTGATATGGTATATTACATTAATTGATTTTTGGGTATTAAACCAACCTGCATTCCTGGGATAAATCCTACTTGATCATGGTTTATTATTATTTTTATATGATGTTAGATTTAGTTTGCTAGGATTTTTTTGTATCCATATTGTAAGAGGTATTGGTCTGTAGTTTTCTTGTGATGTTTTTGTCTGGTTTTGGTATCAGGGCCTCATAGAATAAGTTGGGAAATGTTCTGGTTTTTGGAAAAGTTTGTGGAAAGTGGGTATTCTTTAGATGTTTAGTAGAATTTATCAGTAAAGCAATCTGGGGCTAAACTTTGTGTGTAGTTTTCTTTTTATTACTCATTCAGTCACTTTACTGTTATAAACTGTTCAGATAGCCTATTTTTTCTTGAGTCAGTTTTTGTGGTTTGTGTATTTTTAGGAATTTGTCCATCTGAGTTATTAGTTTATAATTATTTATAGGGTTTTAGTTTTTGAGTTTTTGTTTTTTTTTTTTTTTGAGTCGGAGTCTCTGTCGCCCAGGTTGAAGTGCAGAGGCACAATCATGGCTCACTGCAGCCTTGACCTCCTGGCTCAGATGATCCTTCCACCTCAGCCTTTTGAGTAGCTGGGTCTACACACACGTGCTACCACGTCTGGCTAATTTTTAAATTTTTGTAGAGATGGTTCTCACTATGTTGCCCAGGCTAGTCTTAAACTCCTGGGTTCAAGCAATCCTCCTGCCTTGATCTCTCAAAGTGCTGGGATTATAAGCATCTACCATGCCTGGCCTGTAGTCAGTTCATTTTTCTCTTCTCTCCTGCCCTGCCCTGCCCTCCCCTCATCTCCCTTTCTCTCCCCTCCCCAGGCTGGAGTGCAGTGGCACACTCATGACCACTGCAGCCTCAGCCTGCTGGCCTCAGGCGATCTTCTGCCTCAGCCTTTCAAGTAGCTGTAACCACAGATGCATGCCACCATGCTTGGCTAAATTTTTAAAATTTAGTGTAAAGACAAGGTCTTGCCAAATTGCCCAGGCTGGTCTCAAACTCCTGGGCACAGGCAATCCTCTCTCCTCTGCCTCTCAAAGTACTGGGATGACAGGCATGAGCCATCATGTCTGGTTGAGTATTTCTTACAGTCCTTTTTATATCTGTAAGGATGGTAATAGTGTCTCTTTTTAAATATTTGGTTCTAGTAATGTGAGTCATTTTTCTTTTTTTCTTGGTCAACTAGATAAAAGTTTGTCAATTTTGTTAGTCCTGTCAAAGAACCAGCTTTTGTTTTCATTGATTTTTCTGTTTTTTAAAACTCTCAATTTCATTAATCTTGACTCTAATTTAGTTATAGTTTGGTCTTTTTTTTCCAGTGTCTTATGGTTGAAAGATGGTTGCTGATTTGAGGTCTTCTTTTTTAATATAGGCATTTGCAGCTATAAGTTTCCCTCTATGCATTGTTTGAGCTGTATCCTATAAGTTTTGATATGTTATATCTTCATTTTCATTCATCTCAATTATTGTCTCATGTATCTTTTGATGCTTTCTTTTTTTTTTTTTTTTTTTGAGTTGGAGTCTCACTCTGTCGCCCAGACTGGAGTGCAGTGGCCGCTCCCGGCCACCGCAGCCTCGACCTGCTGGGCTCCGGCGATCCTTCCGTCTCAGCCTTCCAAGTAGCCAGAATTACAGGCATGTGCTACCACGCCTGGCTGATTTTTTTGATTTATTGTAGAGATGAGGTCTTGCCTGCCCAGGCGAGTCTTGAACCCGCGGGCTCAGGCAATCCACTCACCTCAGCCTCCCAAAGGCGCGGGATTACAGGCTGAGCCACCAAGCCCGGCTTCTTTTGATGCTTTCATTCACCCATTGGTTATTTAGGAGTGTGTTGTTTAATTTCCACATATTTATGAGTTCCCCAAATTTCTCTGTTGTTGTGTGACCTACATTTGTATCAGAGAAATCTCTCTGAGCCTGAGTTCTGGTGGCAGGCTTGGGGACAATGATGTGCTTCTCTTTGAGTGACACCCCTGTGTTAGAAACGGAGTT